GCTCTTTGTTTTGGAACACCATTGTTATCTCTTTCAAAACCCATAAACACCTCCATGACGCATTATGGATTTTGTTATTCGTTTGTTAAAAGTTTAACATGTGAAAATGCATTTTAGAAGGGCGAGCGTAGCGGTATATCGTCGCTACTTCTAACTCTGTTCGTTCAGATGTTTCGTTCGCTGTGGTTAAAAAAAGTCATTTCAGTCATACAGTCTTACTTACATGATTTTCACCTCCAAAAATCCTTGGATGGGCCTTACCTAAACCCACGACCTTACGTTTGTCTGAGTTCATTTTCAACTGACGGATCAACAGTTCAACGTGTTTAAGAAGATTTAATTGAAAATCCAATATAAATCGTTACGAGTCAAGTTTAGGACTGTAAACCCCGAAAGTATTTCTAATATCCGTCAACGAAACTTGTAGTTAGTTTAGACCATAAGAATTCTAATAGGGGTCGATTTTCGTCAATCCTTCATAAACTTTGTAGAACGCACATCCGCCAGCTGACCTTCATCAACGCTATGAGTTCAATTAAAAACAACACTAAACATATTTTTTCGCACTTTCTCGTTATGATTCAGCCGAGAGGACGTAAGACCGCGAATATAACGGCTCGGGATTATTCGATTAACTGTATGTGACGAGATATGGTAATAAAAAACCTGGGTTTCGCTTTTTACAACGTTACGTAGTAGAGGTGCTACATGCCGACCACTTATGAATACATTTTTTTTTCTCTCAGTAAACGAAGAAGTTAGTAACGAGTGTATTAAGTGTTGAATATACATAGCTGGGCATTAACTCGTTAATCCGTTAATCGTTAATTAACGAAGTTAACATTTCTATTAACGGATTAACTTTTAAGTTAACTTTAAAAAATGTTAACGGACTCGTTAACTTCCGTTAAATTATCCTAAGTCCGTTAATCGTTAATCCAGTACCTTCTATTTACCAAAAAAAAACAGCAGGCACGCTGAAAAATACTAGAAAAACGCGTTCTGACAAGTACGTTCGGGCTTCCAGAACTTCCAGAACCCAAAACAACAGTTTTTGTAACTAGAAAGAAACGGTATAAAAATGCTTATACAGGGTGGAATTTTGTAATGCCATCTGGAGGGAAAGTACTCTTAATACTGCAGATAGAAAATTTTACTAAAAGAAAACATTCCTTTATTTTTGACAAGAAAGAGAACTGCATTCATAGATTTTCGAAAATTTTTCGAAAATTCACTACCATACCATTACAATTTCTGTACATAATTTAAATAATTTAAGATTTTTTATGGATTTCCTTTCATTTGATTTATCAAGTTTTTTAGAGAGATTTCATGCTTATACTTGAATCTAACGATCGATGCAATAAAAATACAGGGTGTAATTTTTAACAGATTTTAGTTGGTTCGATTCCCGGGTGTGGCAAATATTTTTTGGAAATATTTGAATGCAGTTCTATTTGTTTTCAAAAATAAAGGAATGTTTTCTTTAAGAATTTTTTTCTATCTACAATATTAAGAGTACTTTCCCTCCAGGTGGCATTACAAAATTCCACCCTGTATATTGACTTCACTTGTGTACGTGTGTGGTGTATGTGTGGGACAAATCTTGTAGCTGAATTTAAGACCAGTTCTCCTCAACCGATTGAGTTGCAATTTGGTATACTTATGTAAGTACGATGAAAATGCAACGTTGTGGTACCATTGAGCTGGTCTAATGATGGAGTCAGGAGGCGGCCATAGGAACTCCTAAATGAAACGGCGGAATCGCATCGAATTTGGGTTTGTTGGATTTGTCTTTTAGAGCACATTGGTGCTAAATTGTATTATAATTGAACCAAGGCTCTGAGATTGAGTTGAGATACTATAGACTAAGACCTGAACGCCAGACCAACGTCATTTTATAAAAGCTGAAAGTTTGTCAGCGTATGCTCCCAATATAGGTTAGAATGTTGGTGGATTATGAAGTTTGGGTCATGGTGGCTTTGGCAGCTATCCTAAAAAACTGTCTGACAAGGAGTTGGAACTGTCAAAACTGTCTGGCTAAAAAGAGGAATAAATTCCATGCGCGATGCAAGCTTTCGAAATTATTTGAACCTTGCATACAATAATTTTTTTCGTTTTATTATAATGTGTTAACGGATTAACGATTAACGTTAACTTGCGTTAAATCTTGCTAAATGTAACGTTTTAACGTTTAACGAAGTTAATTTTTTTATTAACGGTTTAACGATTAACGAAGTTAACTATTTGATTAACGGTGCCCAGCTATGTGAATATAATACCCACTTTGCACTTAAAACAAAGTGATAATGTTTACAGTAACTAAGGTAGACCCAAACCACCTGGTTGAAGAATGTCCAAAAGGACGTGAAGGTATTAGGACTCTATGAAACAAGAAGAATAGGGGTGTGGTCGGACTGGCAGACTCTTGATCCGGGGAACGCGGTTTCGAATCCCGCCGCCGCGCCGCTCGACTATTGTATTGTCGAGCCCACTCGCACAGTAGAACAAACTTGAGTTGGTTGAGTTTTTATTCGTAGTCAAGCTATAGATCAGTGGTTCTTAACCTTTATGTCACGAGGGACCATTTTACCAAATTTCTGTCTTGTCAGGGACCACATATTTTTTTCAAAATCCTATGAAAGGGGAGGTCGATTTCTCGTTCACAGTGCGCCGTTTGAGTTGTGTTGATTCGACTCATCACATCACATCACTTGTTTATTACGATGTCTTCGTGGACCACTTGGAATGCCTCTAGTGACCACAAGTGGTCCGCGGACCACCGCCGGTTCAGAACCACTGCATAGATCCTGGCAAAAAAACAGGAGTTGCAGAATTGGGAACGAGTGGTGGGAATGAGTGGTGGGAATAGTCGTCCATCAATGCCAAGGATAAACACGAAGCAGTTTTCGTGAGACTTTGTATTCGATTGCAATATTGATTGGTTTGATTAATGCGTTTTGTTAGGTAGAACATCATTAATTGTGTTACGAAGCAACTAATGCTTAATTGAATTAGGTACCGTAGGTAGGTACATAATTCATGCAAATGCAATGGTTCATATAAACGACTTACATGACAGGTTTTACAGCGGGTTTACTTCGTAAGACCGGCATTCATATTTTCGGCACTTGAAAATGTATTTACCTACATAACTTACTAATTTATTTTTGTGTTAATTAAAAAGCAGCTGATAGATGTTCTCGAAATTGCCTGTTAGCAGCATGCAGCCTCATCATTTCAGTTCAGCCATAGGAAGCCCATTGCTGACCAAAGGCCTCCCCCAATGCCATCTTAGTGCCCAGTTGGTGGCGGCATGCATCCAGGCATCTTCCTGATACCCTATACGAGGTAGTCGGTCCACCTTCGTGGGTGGACGTCCCACCTCATTTATACAAAGTGTACACCCTGTATACAAAGTGAACGAGAACAAATTTATATTTATATTACATTTTTGCTTAATAATGTTAGATTTGTTTCTTTATCACTTTGTATGATGGTCTTGATGGTTCTCATGAAATGTAACCAAAGTTACCAGAAGGTAATACCCATCGCCTAAACTTACTTTGAACTTTATTTCTTTGACATAAGAACTTTATGACGATAAAAACAAGTAGCGCAACTTGTACCGGTTTGAGTGGGTGCGGTAATGAGAGTTTTTGTTTGTTTAGCAAATTAATAGCGTAATACGAGTATAAGTATTGAAACATTCACTTACATTAGCCTAAATATTAATCTTATTTAGGCTAATGTCTGTAAGTTGTCGGTACATAAATACTCCTATTCAGTCAGCTGTTGATTTGACGAATGATGCTTGAACATTGAGTTCACATTAATGAATTAATGAAATACCTAATAAGTAAGTAGGTGTTTAAATATTTATAATTAGGGAATTCATTCATTTCTGTACAATTAACTACATAAATGAGACTTTAATAAGTTTTTTAGAAAAAGTAGGTATTTAATTTTATGAGAGGGATTTTTCTTCTGAAAGAAGAAGTCACGTTCATAGAATTATCTTCTGTAATTAATAGACTGTCGCATCCACTTACTAATTAGGTAAAGAATTTGTCAACTATACCACTTGAATTACTTAATTTTCAATTCACCGCATCGGCCCTAATAGATTTTATAACGCCTTACTAAAAAGATTAAGCAATATCAGACGCGAGTGAGATTCTGCTATAAGTTCCCTCGGACCCCGATTCAGACTAAAATTTATTTTGACAGATTTTTACAAAATTAAGGGGGTCCTGCACGGAATCCTTAAAATTGTCATATTTAGAATTAAAATTGTCATATTTAGAATTAATCGCAATTCTCTAATTATCATTAATTACACTGGTTATCCTACGCAGGACATCTCGTATTTCAAAAACCATGGCAAATGTTGGCATGCTAATTGCATTGCATCCGTTGTCATCAAGGGAAACCATTGTTGCATTGAGCAACATCCATTTGGGTAGTTTGCTTGCCTTGCATAGCGGTACTACAAAATACCTACTTCGATCGTCTAATTATTAGACTCTAATAATACAATAAAATCTATGAATACTCATAAACATGCCTTTTGTGTGTTGTTTTGGGGTGAAAATAAAATTAATTACGACCTAACGACAGAACATAGCGACAGTTATAAGTTTTAACACTCAGCAAAAGCAAATAATTGATTTCTGAAAAAAATCTAACAATACCAAATAAACAGGAACTTTTTACTAGCTTTTTTCAAACTCATGTTTGTAAAATATTTTAAATTAAAACATAAGTTACTAATAACTGTAAAATAATAATAATTTTTTCAAATGTATTGTCTACATATTATCTCCAATTTATTTAGATAGTTTTTCTACCTTAGGTTCGATAGTACGAATCGTTATTTTTTCCAATACCGATAACGTTGCTCTGCATGTCGCTAAATAAGCTGCTGTGACATTTAAATTTCTAAACGATTTTTGTGCGCACCAATCACAGCGCGTCCGTGGTCATTTTGTTTTGTAACGTCTTGATTTTGAAAACTTCAAACGTTTTTCGTTCGTTGTTGCATTGGTTGTATTGTAAATGTAATTCTAAAATAAAATAATTTTGCAAGACAAGTGCTATAATTTTGTGCGTTTATTACATGTGACTTTTATATGTTTATTGTGAAAGTGTAGTTTGAGGAAAATGATTGCCCTAACCGACGACGTTTACAAATTATTGTAAGTGCTGCTAACGTTCTTGTATTTGTCGTTAAAAACGTAATTCCCATCTGCCCAAGTGATTTCTTAACTAATTTATTGTATGTTGCAATGTTTTTAAACTATCAATGACTATTTTTGATTGATATTTGACCTTTCGGTTACCTAGAAATATTCATGAGAAAGAGTGGTCATTTCCTGTCTAAAAGGCGTTACCTACAGCCATCCTGCATCATTAACCCTCTAACTGTGTTTCTTACTCTTTAATTGTATCAATTTCACACAGGATTAATTTCAAACAATACCATGGACATAATTTTTTTAATCTATTCTAGTGATGAAGTCCAGGACAAAATTGCCCACAATGTCCGCGTCATGATGGAAGAGCTATGGCTGAACTGGTCGCACCTAGGAGTCGAGGACTCCACGAAGGTCAACAACATAAACAAACTGGTGACAATCGAGACTGAGCTTCACAGAGATGTCATTTCAGAGACCAGACAGAAACTCAAAACAATGCAAGCACAAGTGGACAGTGAGTACATGTTTTATGTTTTTCTTAGAAATTAAAATGATTGTAATGAGCCCAATTTGGTTAATTTTCTTGAGCATGTAATGGAAGAGAATTTACAATTCTATGTTGCAATCTTTTGCTTTTTGTTTGATGAAGCACAGTCCCAGTCCCCTAAGGTTAGAACTTATTTTAAAGCATCTGCCTTTATGCTTTCAGAGAGAACTTGTGAGATAATATAAAATATGTTTGTACACAAATAAGTTGCAATAGACTGAATTTTATAAAATGAAAATGTTACCATATTTTTTGTTTTCCAGAACTGAAAGAAGAAACGGAAGAACTAAGCAGATGTCTTTCGGTGGATATTACAATCATGGAATTCAAAGATGACATGATGTTAGCAGAATACAAGAGAGAATTGGAAGATCAGATTGCAGGGTAAGTCTCCTTTTTTCATAGTTTTCACAATAAAAGCTTTTCCTAGCATATTTTTTTTACAGTCTTACATGTAAGCTGTATAATTTTCAAAAGAAAATAAATAACTTAGTCTGAGATCCTAACATTCGTACAGGGATAAATGAAAGCATAAACGGCTTAAACATAGAGAGTATTTTAGGAAACAGAAGTTGTAATGATTTTAAGATAGCGTAAGATCCTACAACTATACTAAACTTTATTGTGCTCTGATTTATTTTTATAAATAAACAACTTGAAAAAATCAAACTGCCTAAGGTGGGAATCGAACTTAATTTTGTTCTTTCATACAGATATAGAGAACAAGTAGAGCAGCGTCGCATGAAAATGGAAAGGCTGCTCGAATGGCAACGCGACCTGGCCGAGAAGCTCGGTGTCACCATCCAGGAGTTGCAGGAGATCCCGCTCCCTTCGGAGGAGGAGCTGGACCGGCTGAAGGATCACCTCGAAGTCTTGCAGGCAGAGAGAGACAAGCGCGCTGAGATATTCCTGAACACGCAAGTGGAGATTAAGGATATCATGGGTGAGTATTTTTAAAATAACTCGAAAAAATCGAACTGCCTAAGGTGGGAATCAAACCCAGGACCATTCACTTGCCGGACGACTGCTCTTCCCACCTTAGGCAGTTAAATTTTTCAAGTTATTTTAAAAATATTTAGATCAATAGGCGACTCAAAAAGCTAGAAAGTGTTCACCAAATCTAAATTGGTTTTGAAGTTCATGACACTTATTGTAAGATGTGACTTATGCACATAGATTCTACTACAAATAAAGTATTCAACAGATTCTGGAGCAAATAAGGAAAATTTGTCTCTTGATCTTGTACTACATAATATTTATTTATTTTATTATTTTTATTAGACCCAAAACAGGTTACAGCCATGTAAGATGACACAATCACAAGTTCATTCTTTTAGTGATTTCCTCTTTCAAGTAATTGCTGGCATATGCATTAATAATTTGTATTAATTGCTGAGGGAAACAATAAGTCCTCAGTAAATTAATAAATCAGTATCAAATCCCACTATCCTAGTTATCATCAGTCATATTTATTTATATGGCTACCTAAATAAACTCCGACAAACTTTGTCTGAGTAGTGTAGTGTCGAAGTCATGTCGATATTCAGTAGTATCGGAGTAACGTAATGTCGAAGTAACGTTTGTCGGAGTTTATTTTTATAGCCATTTTATATCTGTTCAACAGACAAGCTCCAAATCAAGCCGCAAAACAAGTTCGAGCACATCGCGGTGACGTCACTGTCTGTAGACTTCAAGGTGACAGACTTGAACATGGACCGCCTCGCCAAGCTTCAGCAGGAGTTGCAGGAGCGATTCGAGCAGACCAACAATAGGGTGAGTGAAGTAAAAATTGAGCATTATGTAGGTTGAGGCAACCATTACATTAGCGCCGCGGTCTTTTTGAACATCAGCATTGGTTATCTAAAGCTGGCATATTAATATCGCTTAAACTGCTTAGATGATACTGGCGGAATATTGTGTTGGAAAAAACAAATTGATTGGCATTGACAGATTTTCTTAATTCTCATCAATCATCTTTTACTTCAATGTTATTTTTATCTTATACAAGTTATCCAGTTATTGACAAAGGTCGCGGGAGACATTTTGGAAAAGCCACACGGTGCGGTGCGGTTGCGGCTCGGCGCCGGAGCGTTATCGCTGCAGCGTCCTGCATATTATAAAGATCACTGATATGCCAAACGGTGCGTTCCGGCGCCGCACCGCAGGCACACCGCAACTCGGGCCTGGTGGTCGCGGTGCGGCGCCAGAGCGATGTCGCTGCAGCTCCCTGCATATAAAGATCACTGATATGCCAAACGGTGCGTTCCGGCGCCGCACGCAGAAACACCGCAACACGGTGCGGATGGTCGCGGCGCGGCGCCAGAGCGATGTCGCTGCGGCGCCCTGCATATAAAAATCAATGATATGCCAGACGGTCCGTTCCGGCGCCGCACCGCAGGCACACCGCACTTCGTTGAGCGAGACGGGGCCGTATTGCGGCGCCGCATACCACATGTGTACAGTGATGCAGAAAAATGTTTGCGGTGAGGCGCCGCACCGAACTGTGGCTTCTCACTTTGATGCTGGCAGTGCAGGACCAGCCGTTGTGGAAATCCATGCATATCCTTTGTCCAGAAGTGGACGCAAATATACGGGGTGGAATTTTGTAATGCCACCTGGAGGGAAAGAAAGTACTCTAAATACTGTAGATAGAAAATTTTACTCAAAGGAAACATTCCTTTATTTTTGAAAAGAAATAGAACTGCATTCAAAGATTTCTAAAAATTTGTTTGCCACACCCGGGAATCGAACCACTAAAATTTGTTAAAAATTACAACCTGTATTTTAATTGCCTCGATCGTTAGGGTTAAGTATAAGGATGAAATCTTACTAACAAACTTGATAAATCAAATGAAAGGAAAACCATGAAATCTTAAGTTATTTTAATTATGTACAGAAAATTGTATGGTATAGTAGTGAATTTAAAAAATCTTTGAATGCACTTTCTTTTCAAAAATAAAGGAATGTTTTCTTTCAGTAAAATTTTATATCTACAGTATTAAGAGTACTTTCCCTCCAGGTGGCATTACAAAATTCCACCCTGTATTTTCAACTGCTGCCTGCTTAAACGTGAAAATTTGCTTCCCAAGGTGCTAGAACTCCGCGAACGGCTGTCCAAGCTGTGGGACTGTTTGGACGAGGACCAGGTGTACCGCGAGAACTTCCTGCACGCTCACCCCGGCTGCCACCCTCGCAGCGAGGCTGCCATCAAGGACGAGATCCGCCGCTGCGACCAGATCAAGCGGCAGAAGATACAGGTATCAATAACTATTTTATGAAAACAAAATTCCTGTTACGTGTTACCGTGTCACATAAAAATTAGGGATTGATTGTTGTTGATTGTTGAAAACGGGCATAAGTGGCTTTCCGACCGTAGGTGGACTATTTCTTATATCTCCATAGAAACTTAAGTGTGCCTAAAAATTAAGAGACGTAAGGAAGTGCTGGACGCAGGCCGCTACCAACCGGGTAACATGGAAAGCATTGGGGGAGGCCTATGTTCAGCAGTGGACGTCCTATGGCTGAGATGATGATGATGATGATTGATGAAGGAAGGAAGCGCTGCAGTGACACCACTGTTTCGCGCTTGTCGTGGCCACTACTAGTTTTCACACAATGTCTGGAAGGGCAACAGCGTCTTTGTCACGGTGGCACGCCGCTGCGACCAGATCAAGAGGCAGAAGATACAGGTACAAAATAAATGAACTAGGTTTCTAACTGGGGCTGGACTATTTCTTATTTCTCCATGGAAACAAGAGCGCTGACAAACTAGAGGCGTGACGAAGCGCTGCAGTGCCGCGCCACTATTATACAGGGTGGAATTTTGTAATGCCACCTGGAGAGAAAGAGATAGAAAATTTTACTGAAAGAAAACATTCCTTTATTTTTGAAAAGAAAGAGAACTGCATTCATAGATTTTCGAAAAATTTTCGAGAATTCACTAGCATACCATACAATTTTCTGAACATAATTTAAGATTTTATGGATTTCCTTTCATTTGATTTATCAAGTTTGTTAGAGAGATTTCATCCTTATACTTGACCCTAACGATCCATGCAATAAAAATACAGGGTGTAATTCTTAACAGATTTTAGTTGGTGCGATTCCCGGGTGTGGCAAATATTTTTTTGGAAATCTTTGAATGCAGTTCTATTTCTTTTCAAAAATAAAGGAATGTTTTCTTTGAGAAAATTTTTCTATCTACAATATTAAGAGTACTTTCATCTACAATATTAAGAGTACTTTCCCTCCAGGTGGCATTACAAAATTCCACCCTGTAGATCGTTTCATCTACGAAGACATGCGGGGAGTTTGATCCGAGCAGTCTGAGCGTCATTATTGTAGTGTGCGTGTACACTCATGGACAATAAAATTTAGCATGTACCGATAACACTCAAACATAAGCGTAAGAATGGTTGGGCGCGTCTTCGTGGATGGTCTATAGTTTTCATAAAATTTCTAGAAGCGCAACAGCTGCTTGTCTTTGTCAAGGCTTCACTTTGGTAGTAGTGCTGCAACTGCACTTCTAAAAATTGTATGAAAAACAGAAGAGGCGCGGCGAGCGAACCACAGTGATGTCTCTGCAGCGCGTCCTCATGCCTCTAATTTGAAGGCGTCTTTGTAGAGGCGCATGCCGTGTGCGCCCGCACACAGACGCACGATAGTGACGTGCGCCCGCCCATCCTAGTGTAGGACCCTAAAAGGGTAAGAAGTGTTTTACTAAAATTATTAAAATGTATGTATTATTAGTTGTGCAAAGAACTTTAGATTCGCCTTTATGTCCTGGGTCTATTCTCTATAATAAAACCGTGGCTATGGCTTAGGGCCCTCGCCCACGGCGACTTTGTAGCGATGCAGTCGCGCTGCTGTAGCGCGTTGGCATCACTTCTTTTAAGAGAACTATTTTCCGAATTCTCACTGAAAACTGTTTTTATGACATAGATGAATTTACAAAATTCTGCCGTGGTAACCATATGCGAATTGCTAATTTATGACATTCCTATAATTTTGATACTGACATTGTATTCTCACGTTTTATTGTGATCATAAAATTGTTTAATTTATTATAATTTATGTGACATCCGAAATTTTAATTACCTAATTGTTTTAATTGATATTGTAATTGCATTGTAATAAATATTTTTGACATTTGAATTCTATTGGAGGTAGATCATGTAATATTAATAATGACTATTAATAATTTAATAATAATACTGCATGACGACTAAATGTTTGCATATCGCTATGTCGATGAAACATGTTGTTCTCGTAACAAGATAATAACTGAAATGTACCATGTTTTATGCAAATAAATAATTTGAATTTGAATCTGTAGTGCGTTCCAAATGCGACTAACGCGTGTTAGTAGCGAAAGTAAAAAGTCGCCGTGGGCGAGGGCCCTTACGGGTTTTTATTATTTAGGTCTGACATAACTCCTATTCCCAGGTGTTCGTAGCCAACGTCCGTACTAAAATAAAGCTGATGTGGGACAGCGTGATGTATTCCCCGCAACAGCGCGAGGAGTTCGTGCACTACTTCCAGGACATCTTCACGGAGGATACGCTCACGTTGCACGAGCTGTATTTGGACAAGATCACCAAGTTCTACAGTGAGAACAAGTACGTAAATAAGCCTAAAATAAAGCTTCGTTTTATGCATATGTGTTGCTAGAAATGTGTGAGAATGATTAGTCGTGAACTAGCACAATATCTGACTAGTTCTGTCCCAGCACGACTTATTTGGCTTTTATTGTGTTTAACAAGGACTCTTATTATAAAGATGCGATTTGAAAATTATAAATAACTTGAAAAAATCGAACTGCCTAAGGCGGGAATTGAACCCACGACCTTTCAGGTCTTAGTCAATTCCCGCCTTAGGCAGTTCGATTTTTTCAAGTTATTTATAATTTTCAAATTAGTTTGAGATGCGACTCTTAACGCTAAAAATTAAATAACTAAGATGCGATTTGTTGTTTTTACAGTCATGATTACTTCCTTTCACTTTTCAATTCTTATACTTTAATACTTTATTGAACTTAGTTAATTGAGTTAGCAGGAATGCGATTGCTATCCCAACTAATATTATAAATGCGAAAGTAACTCTGTCTGTCTGTCTGTCTGTTACGCTTTCCCGCTTAAACCTCGCAACCGATTTTGATGAAATTTGGCATAGAGATAGTTTGAGTCCCGGGAAAGAACATAGGATAGTTTTTATCCCGGTTTTTGAAACAGGGACGCGCGCGATAAAGTTTTTCTGTGACAGACAAAATTCCACGCGGGCGAAGCCGCGGGCGGAAAGCTAGTGTATAATATACGAGTGCGAATGCTCTGAGCAGAGGCAAATGGAGGATTTGGCCTGACCCAATGATAATACTGTTTGGTGACAATTTAGAGCTCTTTAGCAATGCTCGTGCTCCTTCAGTTAATAGTCCAGTCATTATAGTAAGTTCACCTCGGAATTCGAGATACCCAGCTGTAAGTCTGTAAATACGTGTATATTGACAGCCTAAAAGTTGTCTCAAAACCTACATATGGTAGGGTGTAAGCAACTATTAAATTTCAGGTCAACGGTCACAAAAATCGGTTTTTTACGCTTTTTTTTAGAAATATCTCATTTCCTATGGGTTTTTGCTATTTGTATTTATTATCAACTAGCTGACCCGGCGAACTTTGTTCCGCCCTAATGGCAANCGACTGTATGTCAACGTGAAATTGTGAACTCTGTCAGTTTATAATATAACGCGTTAGATTGTAAACTAACAGTGGGTTAGGTTAGGTTAGATTGTAATTTAACTACGTCAGATTATAATCTGACGGAATTCACAATTTTACGGTGACATATACATATTTCTTACTAGCTTTCCGCGTGTAATTTTGTGTCACAGAAAAACATTATCGCGCGCGTCCCTGTTTAAAAAACCGGGATAAAAACTATCCTATGTCCTTTCCCTGGACTCAAATTATCTCTATTCAAAATTTCATCAAAATCGGTTCAGTGGTTTAGGCGTGAAAGCAAGACAGACAGAGTTACTTTCGCATTTATAATATTAGTATAGATAATATATAGACTAAGAGCTAGTGAACGCCAGACCTACGTCATTTTATAAAATTTTATAAATTTTATAAAAGTCTATTGAATATACAGAAAAATCCACCGTAAAAGTTAGACTTACGTTATACTATAAAATCTGATTTTTATGTATAATATTTGGGCAATAATTAGAAGTATTTTCCCCAACAGCCAGACGGTTTTGACAGTTCCAACTCCTTGCCAGACAGTTTTTTTTGGGTAGCTCCCAAAGCCACCATGACCCAAACTTCATAATTCACCAACATTATATCCTATATTGGGAGCATACGCTGACAAACTTTCAGCTTTTATAAAATGACGTAGGTCTGGCGTTCACCAGCTCTTAGTCTAATAGATTTACAACTAGATGAGGTCCCATTATCGCTTTTACCCCTTGTGTTACACCGGCAGAACGGCACAGCAAGCTATCAGCGTGCGATATTAGTAATTACTGTAAAACTGAAATTGATCGAAATTAATAACATAATATCATGTTTTTTGTTACATAATCGCCTCTATCGCAACTACACAAGGCTTATATCCCCACAGGAGCGCCACAACAAGCTGTCGGCTCGCAAGCAGGCGCTGACGCCGACGACGCCGCTTCTGCGCTCGCTGGCCACGTCGCCGCTCGGCAAGCGCAACCGAACTGCCGCCGGGCTCGCCGCCACTGCTGAGAAGAACAGGTGGGTTTAGACTTTATTTCTAACGGCTTAAAGTTGATTTTCCATTACACCATTTATGCTCACTCGCCGTCATCGCCGAGAACAGTTAGAGCTCATTTTACATTAGAGATCTTTCAAGCTCACTCGCTGGCCACGGAACGTTCATGCAGGCACGCAGTGAAAACAACGCAGGACCGAAATCTTTGTTGGCCTTTGTCCAACAGTGAACACCATTTAATTAAGATGAAATGGGAATGTATTTGCATAGACAATCTTACGCTACTGATTCGATATGAACATCTTTTTAAATTGAAAATAATTATTTATAGTAATTAGTAAAAAAATACTAACACAGCTTGCATACCTTCCTTATAACCTTCCTACCCCAGCTTTGCGCAATACTTGTATTGACATTAAACAGTATTCTCACTCCGTAGGCCGTCCAAGCGTCAGCTGATGACTGGCAGCGCTACCAAAGCTGTCACCACCATCTCCAACAATCTGTCTGCCCTCAAGAGATCTGCCATATCCACTGTCAAGAGGTAAGATAGATTAAATTCCTTTAACCATTAAACGAATGAGCAAGTTCAAATGTGCTTTAGACCATAACATAAGACCATAAAGTTCACATTGAGGGATTTTTTAAAATTGCGTAATTAAAACTGTCAAGAATTTTACTTTGTCTTTGGAACGTCACATTATCTATTGTTGAAATCAGTGATTTGCTTTGTTAATCCAAAACAAAGAGCAATGATTATTAGAATTGAGGAGATCGCTCCCCTTGTCAATGAGTTTGGTGGGACAGTTCAGTTTAGGTCATCTATACGATTTATCCGATTTATTAATCAATGACAAAATTTCATATTTCATCTACATTTATTCTGTATTTCTGTATCCAGTTATTTCATCACTATTGTCGTCCATAGCACCATAATGATATTTTTCATTCCTTCCCAACAGTGCGCGTTTGTGACTCGAAGCGAACACAGGCACTGACGCGAGGCAAGTCGTGCTTGATTAGTGACAGTAGACAATTAACGGTTGCCGTACGCATTGTGTAAGCGAGGAATGAGAAATATTGTCGATCGCACTCACGTAATGTAGGCGTCTACAATTGGTACAGTTCACAGCAGAATTTGATTGAGTTTGGTATCTTGTGAAGTACAGTTGACAGCACATCACACTACACTCATTTTTATTTAGCATAATAGCATCTGTTACAAGTATATATAGCCTGACCAGGAACATAAAAACCCTCGCCATGTTGCGGAAAACTAATGGTACTAATTTCTTTTAATGGCAACAGTAACTGAAAACTTCATTGACATGTCACCTTGCATGTCAGTCTATTGCTGTCAAAGTGTAAACAAACTTTATTTTAAATGTGCGCAATTGATTTTATGAATGAAATTGCTAAAATCTTTTTATATTCGTGAAAGAAAAGTGGTTCACAATGTGTTAAAGTATTTGTCGAAGAGAAATACCAAGGGTTCGGACAATATTTTCATTGAATAATGTTTCCAACAAAGGTTGTCAAATTGACTGACATGTTTATCGTGTAGTACAGTCCACTATGAAAATTAGCTGTGGTTTGATTCAACTACCTATTTTAAAGTTTTTTGTCACTTTCTAAATGTTGAATTTTATGGAATTGGGAAAGAAGTACCGAGTTTGAAGCGTTCATGAGCAGACATTGCAGTTGAATATTCAAGTTCTGAATTTGATTATTGATGAATAATAAAATAAATCCTACTAGCTCGATTGATGGTTTCATTTAATTTATTTAAACCAGGTTACCTATAATAATATTTTTTCGTTAATTTATGAAAATATCAAATTAGCCCGTAATCCTGAATCCTGATACATAAAGTTAGCCTATTAATTTAACACAGGTACGACTGTACTCAGTGTTGCACTATCAAATGCGATTGACGCGCCTCTATGCCAGGGTTTTTATGTTCCTGGTCAGGCTATAAGATATCACAGTGTTTATTCTGATTTGTTGTATTGTTATTTTTCATTCAGTTTTTGACTGAATACCCGAGCCATCCAAGGTAATAGGTCACAGTTGATAAATTTCATAGATAATAATAAACGCCATAATACGCAATTAAGTTGCCTTTGTGGTACAGTACAATACTCCCGGTGGGTGTATTTTAAATGATAATTGAATGAGTCTATAATACTAATGATAATAGCTTTCTAAGAAAAGAATTTCGCTCTTCAAAGCTTTCGTAATTCTAATTGGCCATTTTGCTTTGTTCAACTTTTCCTGAAGTTAAGTAAAAAAAATAGTTTAGGCGCGATTGGTCCAATTCGCAATTGCTCCAATCGTGAAAAATTCACAAATTCGCGATTAGTCCAATTCGCGATTGGTCCAATTCGCTATTGGTCCAATTCGCGATTGGTCCAATTCGCTATAGGGCCAATTCGCTATAGGGCCAATTCGCAATTGGTCCAATCGCGCCTAAACAAAAAAAATACTTGCACAGTAATTTTGTTCCATGGTATTGAATTCAGATTTTTGCTGTGAACTGTACAACTAGTTTTGGTAGTTAGTAATATTATTTAACGTAACGTAATTAAGTCGATGTCAGAAGTAATCAAGTAGTAGACAAATAGCATTTTGTACTTCGTAAAAATTGTGTTGCGTAGTGGACTAGTTTCGCATGGTACATGGTAGTTTACTGTTATTAGCTGTCAATCAATGGAAAAATATGGTTTCCTGAAAATCTCATTCTGTCCAGTCATGATTTGTGTATGCAAAAGTCACTGTGATTTATTTAGTTGCTTCACATATATCGTGAATTAGGGGACAGGCTTGTTTTTCAATTAATTTCTGCGAAATTATGGGAGGAAAACTTGTTTTCTAATATTTATAACCGGAGATTGAGTTACGGTTATCGTATGCATTGAAGGCACTTGAGAATCAAACCTGAAACCAATCGCAAGTCGCAACTTTGTGATACATTACACCATTTCCATGATGTTAGGGCAAAAAGACATTCATGACGTAGTTTTAAACTCGAGAAAATAAATTACACATACCTAAATTTTTCGACTATGTAATATCTGTCACTAAAAGAGCCAATTCTTTATGAAGACTCTACAGCCTAAATAACAAGGCTAATATTTCCACAGGCGCATTAGCGGTCGTCTGGCCACCCGCGCTATCGTAGAGAGTAAGGGCGATCACGCGAAACGCAAGTTGGACTACGGAGGAGAGCTCAAGAAAACACCCAAAGTCAACGGCAGCATTCTCAAGCACAAGCGTACGGTGAGTATTCATTGACACCAAAGAAGCATTACAATTTACTCTCGTATAATTAGTTAATAATTATTAGTTGCCACTTTTTCTTACTGGTGAATAATATGCCACTGCAATCTTGGTGCCCCTATTGGTGGACACTGGGAAAAAATGAATTGAATATTAAACTCTCTCAATAATAGATTAGATGGTGCATTCATTGTCATTTAATGACAGACTTCTAAATCTATTCTCAAGTTTCAATCGAGTTTTAAGCGTTCCAGAATACGTACCAGTGTACATTTTGGGTAGGGGTTCAGATAATTTTAAGTATGACACAAGGATGAGACAGAATTACTTGTGTATATGTAGTCCCTGGAATCGAGACCCGCAACAACACCCGCGGCAGGGGAAGACCGCCTAAACGGTGGACAGACGACATCCGGCAGCAGGCTGGAGTGAACTGGATGCGTGTGGCCAGGGACAGAAGTCGGTGGAGGGTTGAAGAGGATGCCTATGTTCGAAGGCGAACCCAAAGGCTGTTATAAATAGATAGATAAATGTAGTAGTGAATCCTATCCTTTGAAGCAAGATAAAAGCCTATTATTATAAACTTTTTTGCTCATATTCGAACTTCTATGTCTCCTCCAGTCTCACGGCAAGCGGCGCAGCACCTCGCGCCGTTCCACCAACGCGACGGCCTCCAGCCAAGAGGAAGAACACAAGCACAAAGACCCTCTCATGGAGACTACGCTGCTCACTACGTACACAGATTTCAAGGTATATCAATAGCATATCAGACTATTTATGTTGCGAAATAGCACCTCTTACAACTGTCTGTACATTAAACACCAACTTTCTTGGTGTTAATATTTAAGATTTATTTGAAACCTCATCTTGAAGTAATTAAGTTGAAAATCTATTAGAGATTTTCTGCCACGCTTACTCGTCATGCTGGTGAAAAAGAGCAGGTACTTAATTACTATTCAGTAAAAAAACTTTGACAAAAACTAAAATCTGTTTTGATTACTTATCAACAAATAAACACATGGTTCTATTGACAACAGACTTTGATGAACTACGTTGATTTCTTGGTTTGTTCCTATGGAGAGCTGAAAATGGCTTTATACAAAACTAAGACAGCAACTGCCAACAATTTATCGATGTCTTCATGATGTCATTAAAATCATACCAATAATTATCAGCTGTCTATAGTAATATCGTAATGTATTTTGTCTTACAGGACAACATCAACGAGAAGCAAATCAGCCGTAGTTCGATGGCGAATACTAGAGGTCACGAGCCGCTCCTCCCAACCATCGTCTTCTCAGCGATCGACGAGAAAAAAACGCCCACCACCCCCAAAAAAACTGCAAAAGTTCCCACGCCCCTCACCCCCAAAGTCGGCAAGGAAAACATCCAACACGTCAACGTGCCTATAACCCCTAAAAGCAACCTTCTATACACCCCTACTAGATTAACGCGATCAGCTCTGAAGCTAAATAACGACGGTTTTGCAACTCCAAGAGCGCCGCTGAGTGCGAACAAAGTCAACCTGCAACGACAAAACACGGTATCGAGTATGTCAGTGAAAACTACCCCCAATAATGTCAGCCGGTCGAAGTCACACACTCATTTGGTGCGGGCCAAGAATCTACCGCCGCTTATTTGAGATTAAGACTGATGTCGCGTTCACGTATTTTGGTTCAAAATTGTGTATCTGTTATCCAGGTTTAACGTATCGGCCTTTTCATAAGAGTCCCTGCGATTGTTAGTTATTGAAACCTATTTAATTTTGTAAAAGCTTTTATTGGAAGTCTCTTTTGAAGGTCGATGAGTTATATTTTGATCAATATTCTACTCATTCCTTGAACTAAGTTATTTGGCATTTGATTATGTTAACAATACGACAGGATTTGTGAACGTTTGTGATATATTTAAGGCAATAATTAAGTTTTCACTGAATTAACAATTAATTGTAATTACACATTGACATTTTTTTACGATTTTATTATGAATACGATGTTTTATGTACAAATGCTTGGCGGTTTTAATTGATGACATTATTATAATCTTTCATATGAATGTATATGTGAATCTCTTTCATATAAACGCTTGATATTTTTATGTAGGGTCCAATTGTTTATAGTTTGCGTTATGAGTATTTAGTTTTGATTAGTTTAGTAAGTTACGAGTTTTTATTTTTCAGAATTTTGTTTTAGATTAGTTTTGTCTTACTAACACAGATTGTTTGATATTGTGATAAAATACTACACTAAATTCACCCTAATCTAGATGTGTAAAATCTGGAAATATTTTAAACATTAATCTTATCATTTAATAGAGTTAGAAGCTAGGTTGATATTAGCACAGATGATACGCTTCTTATATCCATAAACTGTGGATGTGTTGAATTACTTCAGTTAATAAACTTAAAGATATGAACGATTGTCCATGAACTTGTCCATCACAATCCTAGATCAGATCAGAAATTGACATCATTAAAGTTTGAGTAACCGTTATGGTCACGTTGATCGTGAAAGTGTCAAAGTAACAAAATTTTAACACAATTTCAGGCAGCTCACATTATTCGATCACAAATGACAAAATGATACAATGTACTTAATTGTAATCAGTATTTGAATATTATAATCTAATTCGACGATTGTTTCTGAAGTACACTCGGCTTCAACACCATAATTGCATTATAATCTATATTTTATTACGGCCGATGTACGGATTACAATTTATTGCGTCATTTTTAATTTAGTTTTAATTTTAAATGTAAATTATGGTTGTAATATATTTGCATAGTTTAAACTAAGAAGTTTTTTATTTGTCCCACGACCATATAGATTTTAGTTCTTGTCATTTATCAGCAGTGTTAAATAACAGTGTTTCTTTATTAATTATTTCATAAAAGATCTGTAAAATACGTTAAAATGTCGATATTTTTCGATTTTGAAGTCGGGCCGAATGGAAGAAGGTTCAGGAGAGCGGTGGATGGAGACAAAGTTGACATACAATCGTTTGTAAACGATATTACTGAGCATTTGTTCGGGCCTGTCGACATCGGAGAACTAATGTACGTGAATCTACAGGTGTAGCACATGACTTGAGTCAGTGCCAGTTGTATGGTATCGAGTGCTTTTGTGACGTCAAACGTCAGTGAAACTTCTGTCAGTCACGTCATATAGTCGCTCCTTCCGTACTGCTCCCATATCTGAAACATTAGAAGTCAGTTGTGCGCTAGAATTTATTTATTTATTTATTTGAACACCAACAAGGTTACATTGAGGCTTCACAAAAGTAACTATAAAAAATGACACTTGTTAAATGCAAACTTAATTATAGAATTGTAATTATAATGGCTATATTCCACTACTAAGCTAGTCTCTCTACTTGGGCAATTTGACTGGGAAGAGAATGCCATATGCTCCGTCGAATCAAATCTTTGTAATTTGTCTATGGAGACGTTTTTACTCGTTAGCCGTCTCTGTACCATAGTGTTATTTCGAAAGCTTATTGGTTGCAGCCATTTATAGTCTGGTCGCTGAGCACGTAGAATTTCGTCCATGGACCCCAAGCTACCCATCCCTTATCGCGCTGGTACTCACTGCTGCCGCCCGTCGCACAGTCGCGACAGCAATATAATTACGCGCGAGCGATAAGGATGGGTAGCTTGGGGTTAATGGACGAAATTCTACGTGCTCGGCGACCAGACTAAAGAAGTGGTAATCTAATTTTTATTCCAGTGAACTGTCAGCCCTGTCAATATGTTTGATAGACGAAAACAAGGACGTGGTGGGGTTCATGGCGCTCAGCGACTATCCCAACGTGCCCGGAGTCGACCCCGGTGATTGGGAGATCTGGCTACGAAACATGTTCCAGTGAGTACTTGCACATCAAAGGACAATGACCAAAAGTGCTCCAAATGTCCACCACTAATGAGACCTATATTGGCTTATAGTCCATTAAACAGAGATTAACTTTTAGTATGGGACGAAAAAAAAAACCTGTCAGTAAAATGTTATGACTGTTTAAAAAATTGTAGTAGTTTACGCGCCAATCTCAGGAACTACTGGTCCGATTTGAAAAATTCTTTTTCTTATGGATAGCCCATTTATCAAGGATGGTTTTAGAATAAATAACATCACCCTATAACCAATAGGGGCGGAGCAGTAAAGACAAATGTTGTAAAAATGGGTAATATTATTCAAACTATTTTCACGCGTACAAAGTCGCAGGCATAGCTAGTATAATTATTTAATAAAATTCATCTATAAGCCCGCGCCACTTGCGACATGACATAACATGCGTAGATTAGTCCAAAATGTGCAATGGATAGAATGATATCAAGGACATTTTTCGGATGAAAATGTAAAAAACAGACTTCATTCAGTCATAACTTTTTACTGACAGCATATTTTAGATTGCGGTTTGGTTATAATGAATGCTATCTTAAGTAGTGTTGTACAGATAAAGAATGTTAAGATGGCGGGACTCTGTATCGAGTGGACTGTATTCGTTGTTTGTTTAGTGTTAATATTGTGCTATTTCGCATAAAAGAAAGTCCTGTAGAAAAATAACGAGCAAAGTAGCAAGTAATTGCTGCTACGATTTTAACAATTTGACATTCACGACAGCCTCACTTAAAAATATCCGGCCAGGGATTTATTTATGGATTATTTTATTTAATAGAAGCAGAAGCAGGTACATCATACAACCTACCTATTTGACTGCCTTAACCACACGGCTCATTTGCTTCTAGTAAATGGAGAGTCATGTTCCTGCATAGGTTACTTACTAAATGGCTACCTGATGACTTTCATACCCAATTCTTCTATAATTAATTCCAGAAAGTACTTCCTCTCCCGTAACACCCTGTTCATCCACTTCATGTGCTGTGCGGAGGCGGTAGACGACTTCTTTCTGGATGAGGCGCTGGTGTCGGTGTTTGAGCATGACGCGTACTTGCACCAGGTCGTGTTGCTGGTGCCGCCACAGTGTCCTGAAGGTAGAACAATGTTTTTTAACTGTGGATATCCATCATCATTGTAGTCCGTAGGTAGGGTACTCACCTGCCATGTAGTACGTAACGTAGCATGTAACGTAACCAACCTATAAGTGAGTACGGCTCGTCCACGGTCATCGCGTATCTGGATGCGAGCTCTTGGATCCTACTGCGAGCCGCTTTTGTGCTCGCAGTGATACCGCCAGTCGGCGGGTCGCTGCGATCTCCCTGCGAACCACGCGCAGGCAACGCGCAGCGGGCTCGTGCCTATGTACTCACTTGATACAGTATCTGATACATTACATGCTACACGGCTAGATGAGTACCCCGCTGTACATTTTAGTTTATATGAGTGAGAGCTATTGTATTTTGTCCACACCAGTTAGCGCCACTGTAGAGTAAGGACGTCACTTGCTATTGGCTAAGACAGTGTCGTCAACTGGTAAGCGTAAATACGATACCCCTCATTGTGCGATTACTAGAAATACAAGGTGTTGATTTCAATTTTTTTTGTGGATAATGCGTTTATACAAGTCATAATAGATCACCTAAATAAATATGGCGAGGATTGAAATCAACACCCTGTATAAGCTCCGCGGTTGACCATAAGATTGCTATTCCTCCAAGGATGTGCTGCTGTGAGGTTGGGTTGCCCAGGATGCATCTGTGAAGCATCAAAGAATCACTTCATTTACCTAGCTAAGCGCAGCTCTAGTGAAAATGCACCAGAACGGGACAAAACCAAGACAATGTGCCTGTGTTGCGCATAGGCTCGGAGCCCTCTGACGACTATTTCTTTTAAAGATGAAAGTGTGAAGAACGCAAATAATACTTACTTCCTGACATGCTCAACAAACTTGTTTTTTACGGAACGTCCTAAAACCCCATAGAATAAAAGAAGTATTAAGTACTATAGTCCGGTCGCTGAGCACGTAGAATTTCGTCCAATGACCCCAAGCTATCCATCCTTATCGCTCGCGCGTAATTATGCTCGTGCTTTGTCCTCGAGATTAGAAATAAGAACTATGTAGTATCACGTACGGTGATGCCAGTTTACGCACTGTTAGTTGAGGATATTTTTTTTTTTTTTTTTTTGTGGGTATCTCAGTTTACATCCCATTTGACATTGGTATCCGTCGTCAGTCACGATTCAGTGCTCTGCCAGTTCGCACTTCTTCTACTTAAATACGTA